CTATAAACCTGTGAAGGATCCCTGTAGCTGTGTCATTGTTATAGTACTGCTGTTAAGAAGGCCATGGTACTGTAACACTATTTTGCATTTACTTTGTTATTAAAACAACTAAAATATATATATAGTTAGATGAATTGTATATATGCATTATATATCTTAAAATATAAAATTAATGCTTTCAACTATTATAATTTTTTATATTCACAAGTATGAGAATTATGCCCAACTCCTTTACAATAACTGTATATGTATTTACTATTTTTCTTTTCATAATTATTTGCTGGTTTGCTTCTTTAAATCACTTATTACTATTATTTCTACAATTTAATTTATTTATTATAAATAATGAATAAACTTACTACTATTATAATAAATAAATATAATAAACTAAATTACTTACCTATAATTTGAATTTTGCAAATTTTTAGTAGCAGTATAAGTTTTACTTTTGCTCTGATATTTATAAATAAAGTTTTCAAATATACTTTTGATATGTTTTTTAGGTATATCTTTTATATGATTTAAATACTAATTGTTTATATTTAGCAAATTCTCCTTGTTAAACTCATTTAAATTGTAATAGATTTTTTTTTGTCTCCTTAATCTAATCTTGTAGGAGTTTATTTATTTATTTTCATAACCAGTTTTAAGAGCCAACTCAACAGCTTTTTTTGCAAAGCTAAGTTTTGGTTATATTTTGCTCTATAAGTTAGATTCTGTTTAATAGTTTCTAAGATTGCTTGTGTATGCTGAATCTTATTAAGGAAGCTGTAATTCATTTTAATTGGATGCTTATATATGGGTTTACTACTATCCTTTTTACTAGTAATAGTAATTGCAATTTCATCTTGAGAGTCTAAACATTGTTTCTTTGTACCATTATACTAAAATAAGATTAATATGAAATATAACCTTATCTGAATTAAGCATTATAGAAAAAAAATGATAGCAAACAAGCCTTTTTGTTACAAGATTTATACAAATAATTAGCATTTTTATAAATTATTATGAAATGTTCATTATTTTGTTCAATTGTCATTATATGCTAAACCTCCTGAATAATAGATAGATCAATACATTTAATTAATGAATTTAAGTTTATTATAACAGATTCATAACTATCTTCAGCAAATTCTATATCATTTGCTACTTCAATTAATTTATAATGAACTTGATTTTTAGTAATTTGATCCTCACAGTCAATTAAAAATTCCTAATTTATAATTTTTTCAACATAATATAACAAGTATTCATTCATTTGACGATCTACATTTTTAATACTTATAGAGTAAGATAATTTTTGAGAGTTATATTAATTCGACTAAAGTACCTATTTATAATATTAGATAATTTAACAATCAGATTTTGGTTAATTTGGTCATTATATTCAAATTGTTTTTCTCTATCAAGCTGCAACTGAATTTATATATCTAATTCATATAATATTGTTAAAGTTTTAACTGATCATTTAATCAATAAATTGTAGTTTTCAACTCATTGTATTAATTAAATTCACTATTAAAAGATCTATAAGAATAACATAAAGTCTAACTAGTAATATTAACATCAAGAACACATTTAAGATACTTTCTTGCTTTAAATACTTGTTGAATAAATCACTTCATTGGTTCTTAAATTCATACTCTGAAAAACTGTTACGATATTTATTTCATATCATTATAAAATCTGAATACTTTTTACAAAGTTTTTCTTTCAGATTTTTTTAAAGTTTTTATATATATACTATATATAATAATTATATTTATGAAGGTGTGGCAACTTAGTGAAGTTGGTAAGTTGTTGTACTCCAAGTAGCAGAACAAGAGTTAGAATCTTACTGGCAATGAATTCGAATTTTATAGAATGTGTTATAGTAAACTGTCTGTAGCTTTGGTCATATCAGCTTGTATTAAAAGACTGTAGAACTATAGTATGATGCAAGAGTTATACAAAACTCAAGTGAAATAATTGTTAATTCTAAAGGCTAGAGCATATAAAATCTTATTTGACAAGTTCTGAGTAGAGAAATAGCACAGATCTTTAATGATACTACATAAAGAACAATTACTAACAACTAGATGCGATAGTAAACTGGATGAGGACCAGGTGTTTAGCAAACACCAATACTAATCAGACTATGTATATATAGAGATGGCTCTATATATCAGCTAAATTTTTAAGCAGATATATATTGATATTGTTATAGAACAGTTTTATTTTTATTAGTTTATTATTTTATCTTAGTATTATTTTATTATTTCGATATTTGTATTTTATTAGTTATTAGTTATTAT